GCTAATTCTAAATTATATTTTACAATTTAATTTCAATAAACTCTAAAATAAATAGGTAATAAATAATCCATCTTTTTTGTTTCTACGTACAAGAATAATGGGTCTTTTAATGTTTAAATTGGAAAAATAAGTATTATCATCATTCATTAGCTTAAATCCAACATTATTATGTGTAATCATGAATGCACGCGGTTATAATAAACTTCAATATGGATTTAATATAATTATTATACAATAATTATACAAAAGTACATTTATGCATTGCTCAAAGGCCATTTTAATATAATATTTATTAATGAATTGTTGTAAATCATTATATTAGGCTTTAAATTGAGTATAAATTATCAAAATATAAGTTAAATGACAAGCTATAAATCAAACAAGGAATTGTTCGATTATTTCTTTTATTTTGTTGATAAATTTTTATCGATCGTTATTACATTTACCAAAGTAATATATTGCATGTACATGTGTGATTGATGGTACATTGAAATTTTATCGAATTTACTTAAAACTAGGAGAATTAAAGATATGGACATTTGTCACGATATTATAAGTAAACTCTAAAACATATTATAGAATAATATGTGCAAGTATTTTCCCTTTCTGAGCATCTTAACATTTTCGTTACATACATTCCTTTGTGGTCTAAATAGTAAGTAATTGTACACTAATTAATAAATAAAATTTCCCAAAAAAAAAAAAAAAACAACAATGGCTTTATTGAATAATAAATAATGATGATCGATAACGATGTGTTTAAGAACGCACCACCAAATTTTATAAATTAATATTGACAATGACATTAATATAGTAGAATAAACCAGAGATTTTAAAAATTTACCTAAAGCTTTTATAAGTTTTGCCGAGTGTGATGGAGCATAAATTTATTTATTTATCATTCTAATTCGAGTTGAATCGTTCGAGGTTAAAACCTTATACCATAAATACATTTATTTAATTAGTTTCAAATTGCATATTAGATAAATTTTTATATTAACGAGAAACTATATAAGCGCAAATATGCCTTTTACTGAATTTTCCTACTTTATTGACCATAGAAGCATTTGGAAAATAAAAATGTTTTTCGAATTTCAAATGACAATTACGTGCTCTATAATAATATTTCAGTCACTATGGGAAAATTTAAAAATTTCATGACATTTTCACGATAAAGCACTTTGAAATTCTCGATTATCGCAGAGTACTTTTTAGACATTATTATTTCAAAAGCTTTTAAATTTCATGATTGAATACTTGGCTATTCAATTATCGTTTAAAGGCAATGAAAAAAAAATTTTTTCTTTACTTTTCGATTGATCGATAAATGAAATTACACATTATTATTTGCGATCGATTAATTATGCTGACGCCAATACCATTTCACCGATCCTAATCATTTAGATACCGACATTGTCGTAGTCAACGATAAAACGAGGCAACGAACTACCGCGGTACGATGGCAATTTACTTCTTATTTCCCACACTTCTCGTGCACGTGTATTTCCATATTATCCTTGCCTCTTGCTCTCTAATATTTAATAGAATGCAACAATTTATATGTCTGGTTCAGTGACGTAATAGACACATTATCGGGCTGTTATTGCAGGTCGTCGACAAAGAGTCGTATACATCGAGGATATCCGCGTCTCGCGAGCCGCAACGCTCATACGCAGGAATTAATTAAAAAGTGGCAACGGTGCCTCTTCCCCTCGTAGTTTCTTGCAGTTCGTGTTTATCTCGGTGGGAGAGCGAGAGAGACGTAAAAAAAAAAGATTTGAAGAGCCAGCAATGAGCATCTGATGTGTGTGTGTGTGTGTGCGTGCGTGCGTGCGTGCACATGTGCGTGCGTGCGTGCACATGTGCGTATGCGTGTGGGCTGGTGGAGTATGGCCGTATGTCGTGGGGTGCGCGCGGAAATGGCATCAAAGACGAGGGGACGGCCAGTCAGCGTATAAGTTTCCACAATCTCCGTTCCTGTCGTCGGCTCTTTTCTCTCCTCCTCCTCCTCCCTCCCCTCCCACCCGCCGCTACTCCGTTCTGCCCCTGCCACAGGCCCATCCCTAGTCTCTCGTTCTCCGTCGATCCCAACTACTACATAGGCCATCTCTTTATACGTCAGCCGCTTGGTTTTTCTATCCCCTAGACCCCGGCCGGCATCGTCGTTGTCGCGTCGTCGTCGTCGTCGTCGTCGTTGTTGCCACCACCATCATTACCACCACCATCACTACACCAGTATCACCGTCACCACACCACTACCACTTCCACTACCACTACCACTACCACTACCACTACCACTACCACCACCACTACCACCACCACCACCACCACCATTATCGCTACCACCACCACCACCACTACCACCACCACCACCACCACCATTATCGCTACCACCACCACCACCACTACCACCACCACCACCACCACCATTATCGCTACCACCACCACCACCACTACCACCACCACCACCACCACCATTATCGCTACCACCACCACCACCACTACCACCACCACCACCACCACCATTATCGCTACCACCACCACCTTCATCACCACCCCACCACCATATACTATCACCCCTTGGTCCTACACCGATCTAGTTGGCCGTCTCTCTTTTTTCTCCCTCTTGCCAAATATCTACCATCTGCGGAGTATAGCCCTGCCCGGGCTAGCCAGCCTCGCACTACTCTCATCCTACGAACGCCCATTTACATGTGTGCGTGCACACACGTACGTGTTGCGATTCGAATGGGCAAAAGAGAGGGGGGGCGTAATAGAGGAGCGGAGCAGCGAACGGTTTGTGCTCTTCGGCATTTTGGCTTAGTCCCCTATTGTGCGCCGGCCCAAAAGTTTCCTGCGACTTTTCTGTGAACGAGGAGCGTACTTGATAAAAAGAAAATCTAATACAAATCCAACCCTCTCTTGGCATTTCTCTCGTTCGCTGCCTGCCCCTCTTTCAAAAGAGAAAAAAAGAGGAGCGACAGTGCTGAAGGGTAGCGAAGGGTAGCGGAACTCGCGTATATATATGTGAGTTCATCGGTGAATACGAGGGAGAGAGAGAGAGAGAGAGAGAGAGAGAGAGAGAGAGAGATAGCGAGAGAAGCCGACGTTAAGGAAATTTTCCGGGCGTACGATTGACGACTGCGTAAGTCTCTACTAAAGCTGTGGTAGGGGGACGGACGTAGGCACGGTACGTCGGTGGTTTTCTTTGTTCTCCTTGGGCGAGCGTACAAATTTGCATCGGCAGTAGCAAATATCGCAAGACACGTGTCTAGTTCGGTTGAAAGTCGCGATAGCCGTTGATTTTGATAATTGCGGTGTTTAAGGCGTAAGTGCAACGGTGTTGCGCGTGTATCAGCCTAAAAAAGTGAGGTTAGGTATAAGCGGTTGCGTGCGCTTTATCACGATATAATACATGCATGTGGATTCCTCCGATAACAGAAAAGATGAGCGCACGCGTTATTGACAAGAATAGTGGAGGCGGTTTGATGAAGACGACTGCCGGCGTAGTTAGTCGAGTTATCGAGAGCACGGCCAACAGTCTGCAGCAGCAACAGCAGCAGCAGCAAAACAGTGATTGGCAGCAGCAGCAACAGCAGCAACAACAGCAACAGCAACAGCAACAGCAACAACAAAACGGACAGAACCTCCTCGTCGTTTCGCAGGATGCACAGGGCAAGGAACTCATTGCGGTCGCTGATGAGCAAACCGTCAATGGTGTCAACGTCGTCCTCGACTCGTACTGTTCGTGTACTTATTCCCTTTTACTTATTTCGTTGATGTGCCTCATATTTATTTATTTTGTCCGTTAGATTGTGCGAACAGGCATTTGTTTGAATATTACATTGCCATCGATTAGTAGCTTATGCTTTCTAAATCAGATATTTATATTTCAGATGAAAATAAGTTGGCATGATGTGGTTCGAATTGTTTATTTCCTGCTTATCAGTTGTAAAATTGCTCTAAAATTTTTTAATAATAAAAATTGTTGTAAGGGTGGGTAGTATATACAATACCACTTTTGGGAAAATGCATGGGATACTTAACAAGCCATTTGAAAGACAAAGGCTCTTGGTCATTACGATTATTAAATATTACTTGGAGATGCGTACATTTTCATATTGTTTATATTTTTAATTCTCAAGCTGGCATTGTCTTGGTGCTGCACAAAAATGATTTCTAGTATATATTCATTGAATATAATATGTACAGTAGTAGTTATAATTAATATGAGTGGATATAAAACAGTCTTGTGTGTTAAAATTACGTCTCCGTAAATTTATTTACAATCCGTAAAATGATTCCGTAGAATGATTTGTACGTGTTGGAAAAAAAAATGTTGAAAATTGAAATTCAAATTATTAACGCCCTTATTTTTCTATTTTTTTAAAAAAAATTTAATTAAAGATTTATTTATATATATAATTTTAATTAAAAATTAATTTAATTAAAGATTAATTAACGCATCTATTGTATGAAAATTGTAATAGTATTAATACAAAATTGTAAGATTGCATTGAATGACTTTTTAGCGAAGGGGAAAACAAAGCTTAAAACTTTAATAAATAGTTTTAAAATTTTGATTTGGTGAAATGCAAATATTCAATATAATAATTATAAAGTATTGTATATGAATTTTTTTTTTAAGGTTTTTTTTTTAATATTTTTTGCAATTTGTATATGAAGCAATGTAAACTTGTTAACCGTTGAAAAATCTTTACTCGTGTTTAACCTATCTTCAAGATTACAATTAGTTTAGAAGAAATTGTATATTTCTCATAACAATAATTGTTAATTAAATAGTGCTTATTTTGCATTAAATCGATATTCCTTTTTAGTTTATGCAATAAAAAATTACAATAGATAAAAAAATTATTTGAATATGGAAATTTAATGTGTAATAATTATTTTGTAATTTTCATGTCTTGTATCTTAATGTAGATGTAAATTTTTATAAGGTTTGCTAATAATACTAATTAAGCACTTTGTATGAATTGCAGGGTTACTGGAACTTGCCCATCGAGAATATCAAGCTGGAGACTATGAAAATGCGGAAAGGCATTGTATGCAATTATGGAGGCAAGAAACAAATAACACAGGAGTTCTACTGTTACTTTCTTCGATACACTTTCAGTGTCGCAGACTTGAAAAGTAAGTAAAACTTAATTGAAAGCTAAATGTTCCTAGTTCTCTTTTCGTATTCTAATAAATTGTGCGTTTCAAGTATTTTCATACTATTCTTTAACACGCTATCAACAATATCAATAAATTTACCGCTACACCAAAACAATCGCAGAAAGATTTATAAATTGGATATATTTTAAAAATAACGTTAACACTCTTATATTACTTCTGAGTTTAATGTAAATTTTTTCAATAGATCCGCTCACTACAGTAGCTTAGCTATTAAGCAGAATCCTTTACTGGCCGAAGCATACAGTAACTTGGGAAATGTTTACAAAGAGCGTGGACAGCTTCAAGAAGCATTGGAAAACTATCGTCATGCTGTTCGGTTGAAACCGGACTTCATAGATGGTTACATTAATCTTGCAGCGGCTTTGGTTGCAGCGGGAGACATGGAGCAAGCTGTTCAGGCATATGTTACAGCATTACAGTATAATCCAGTGGGTAGTTTTTAAATTAAAGATTTAACATTTTCAAATAATAATGGAGTGTCCATACATTAGTTTATGAGACTGTAGACACGATAAAACGAAAATAAATCAGTTAAACCATGAATTTGTATAGATAAGATACGGTCATCTGTGTAAAGTTAATAATTATAGTTGGAAATTTGAAATATGATTCAAACAAATTGATATTCAATAATAAATTATGAATATATCGGAACATTCATTACAACATTTTGTAGTACTTAAAACTTAATTTGACACAATGCATTATTTTACGTGCGTTATTTATTATATATTTATTGTACATGAGAAGTTTTTATTACAAAAGCTACAAATTAATAGAATCATACATCATCAAACATGTATTCTTCAATATTTACATTTGAAATAATTAATATGTATTTAAGATTCATCCTAATAAGGTATATTTTTTCAGGATCTTTATTGCGTAAGAAGCGATCTTGGTAATCTCTTGAAAGCATTAGCAAGACTCGATGAAGCCAAGGTAAGTTGAATTTAACATCGTACTATAAGTTTTTAAAATCTTCACTCGAGACATTTTATACATTGATACCAGAAGTCAAAATTCTTAATCTCAAAAACAATATGGAATTTATTTGATTGGAGGTACAATTATTTGTCACGAATCTAGCAGCAAAATATCAATTGTAGATGGGCGAGAAAGGTTTCAATGAATATTATATATCTGTGTATCAGCTAGTGTAGTTCTGAGGAATGTTTAGAGTATATATGATTGTTTTCATATAAGCACACGCAGAAAGCTGCCTTTGTATACCAAAATTGCGCGCGTCGCGAGCAGTTGTCTGTCATCAAATTTAGTAATCTAATGCCATGTTATCCATAAGTCGTTTCTTTACAGCATTGACTTTCAAATACAGAAAATATTTCTACTATGGATAATACGTATTGCATCTGATATACTTATTTTTTCTCTTCTGTTATAAAGCATTGCTATTGTACTAATTAATGTGAAAAATCACTTACTTCGATTGGTGTTATATGCAATACAGGAATAAAGGGAATATTTCTTTTCTTGTGGAAAAATAGAGTTCAGCAATTTTTCATAATAACGCATGATTAATCAACTGCCTTACACAGCGCACTTTCATGATCTTTTAAATATTGTGGGTGGCGGGTGGGGGAGGAGAAAGAAAAGAAAAAAGGAAATAGAAAAATCATCAAACAACATAATGATTTGTGTATTTGTAAATTGATTTGCGAGTATTAGTTATTTCTTATAAATAATCAATAACAAAGTACCGAGTTGAAGTATAAAGCAACATTGAAAAATGCCCATAATTTGATAATAATTTGTTATGTATAGAAAATGGTTTATTTAGAGCTCTATTTTACTATACATTTGGAGATTTTCCCTTGCGGTTTCGAAGCTGTTGCAAGTAAACGGCGAACAAACCAGAAATGGCATTAGGAGTAGCTTGTAGCAACGCCTCGCTCGACATTTGACACGCACTTCGGTCTTGTTGCAAGCTCATCGATTTATGACTGCCGATCTTATTTTCCCGTTACATTAATCATTTTCCACATTAAACAGCTATTATTACCGCAAGGCATTACTTTTGATTTTGAAATGTATGTGCGAATAGGATCGGCCGCGCGCGCTATTAGCTTTTAAGTTCACTTTTAAAATCCTTTCATTTCTTATTAACTTTTTTTTACAGCACCTTTTTACTTATTCCTCCTTTACTCCCATAGCGTAGTTCTTTCTCATGCAAAGTCCAATGCGTTAAAGAGCAATTGGCGCGAGACTGCTTGGCTATTGTAAATTTTGATGTCAAAGATTGTTAAAATTACATTGTACGTCATTGTTACGAGTCCTTGAAAGACTTCCAATTTTTATCGATCCAAATGATTAATTAAAAGAAAAAAATGCACAGCTGTTAAAGTGTTTTTTTTTTTTTTTTTGCATTTAAATCGAAATGAAATGTGTTAAGTATCGAAGCATATTTTGAATTGAAGAATACTCTTTTTGTAAAGTTCATGTTATTAAAAAATATTAAATTGAAACACTACGAGAGATGCAATTCTTTGGGCAATTAGATTACGTTTAGTCAAGAAGTCTGCTTTGTCACGGAGTTGGTGACTAGATGCGCTCACGAAATTGTATTATCAAGAATGGTCATAATATAAAAAGGAAAAAGAATTTTGTCTCTTGGATTTATAAATCAAGATTGGTATAATTGAATATTGATATGCATGACGACGTTGCTTCACTCAACTGGAATAAGCGATTCGTGAGGGCATTAATGTATTTCGACTTATTTAGGATAAATAATGGGTGGCAAGGGAAGTTTTCTGCTACTCTATAAGGCATTCCTAAGAACTATCTGGCTTGCAATAATGCCAAATTTTTTCTTTGTGCTTTTTTTCAAAACCCGTCCAGCCACTAGCTTTTCATTTAGTTAGAGTCTTTTCTTTTTTTTGAAAACACGTGTCACTAAATGATGTTGAAAGTTTTGCATCGCGCTGAACAATGTTTTTAAAAGTCAAACTCAAATTCAATATTGAGAAAAGTCAAGATTTTAATGTATCACCACTCGTGTTTAAAGTTCGGTTTAAATAAAGTTATGTACGTAATAAAAGCAGATTTAATGTTATCATTTTTAATTTAGGAAATATCATTGAACGTACAAGCCATTTTTTTTTCTTTTTTTTTTTCTTATGCTTTCGTTCGATTAAACATTGAAATGTTTTTAGGAGTAGATTACACTGAATATGCTTTCATAACTAATGTAAAACTTACGCAATCAGTCGACATTAAATTCCGATTTCTTCTTCGTTTTCGTCTTATTATTATCATTGTTATTATTATTATTATTATTATTATTATTATTATTATTATTATATTACTATTATTATTAAAAAGTAAAAGAAAAATACGTGACATGCCATAAATGTACAACTTAGTTTTTTTAAAGTCTTTTTTCCATTTGTTCTTTCAATTATTTTATCATTTATATATGGCGTATATAACATTTATATATGGCGATTAAAGGAGAGTCATTGTTGAACAAAAGAAAATAATCTACTTATATTACTTTAACCAAAGAAGCCTTTAAGTAGTTTGCAAAATTAAGATTCTCGTTAATAATTTTTTTATTTATACCGACTAGACGTGCATGTACGGTAAGACTCCGGTAAATAATAATAAAGAAAAATAAAACAAAAACAAAAAAAAAACAAACAAACAAACAAACAAACAAAAACACTAAATCTAAAGTTAATCTTCTGTGCAGCAATTTAAACGTGAAATTAATGTAATATTCACAATCGAAATGAATATAAAGAAGATCCAGTGTAGTTTACTTCTGTAAAAATTGCCGGTCGAGTCGGATTATCGAAGTGATTATCGAAGTGATCATTATTTAGGTTCGGAGTGAGTGAGGAGATACGAACGAATTCTATCTTAAAAACAAAACATTTTAACAATATTTAAATCTTTTTCTAGTACTTCAAAAAAGCTCAAAGCTTTAAACGAACACGATTGAGAGCAGTACATAAAACAGATATTAAAATTCTCAAGTGACCAACGAGTCCTCTGGCTGTATAATGCGAGCCTGACGTGCCCATAGGTATTTCAAAAAAAAGATACAAATATATTTTGATTAAAAAGCTAAGATAAAAAAGATAAAAAAAAAAAAAAAAAGAAAAGAAACGAAAGTTGAAGTGGAGTGGTAGTGTTGAGAGAGTACAGAAAGAGATTAACGCAACTATCTTATTGTCTGTGGACGGGATTGATCGACTCTAGGAGAACGGGGCAAGTGCGGATACAGAGACACGGTCGCTTTCTCCAACCGGTCGAACACACGCTGCGATGAGGTTATTCAATAGAGCACTGTGTCTCAGATCATAATTATAATCGAGAACTTACGAGCCGTACCTACTGTCAACCTACCGAAGGGTACTCTGAAGGTAAAGTAGTTCCCGAGGCCGGTCTCTATTCTCTTAATTTTTTCTCCTCCAGTCTTCAGCGACACCTTCCTTGTTCATCCCGTCTTCGCCAACGAAGAGTGATTCTTTAATCGTGCTTTTAAAATTTTGGTTACTTGTACATTTGTAGATATGTCAGCTTGTGATTTCCACATTAAAGAGAATTGTTTCATACGTGAAAAGGATTTTCTTTAGTGTTTGTTTCAAATAAATACATAAATAAATCAATAAATAAATAAATAAATAAATATATATATATATATATATATATATATATATATATATATATATATATATATATATACATATATATATATATTTTTTTTTATTAATAACGCGTCAATGCGATTATTGTCTTTCACAGGAATGAAAAGCATCGCTTAATTATGGGCAAAATTTCTTTATTGTTTCGCGATAAGGCATTCGAAGGTACTTACATATCCGTTCTTTTCATTTTTTATTTCGTGACAATGTTAAGGGCTTTAATTGACGTATCGTTAAAACGATGACGAGACCAAATGTTTCGAAATTATTTCTTACTAACTTTTTGCCTATTTTTAATGCATTAATGAATATTAAGTAATTATAAAGTTAAAAATTGCTTGTTTAAGGTATAGTGAGTAATTTTTGGCACCATTCCCTTTTACTACGCAACTGTCATCTATTAATGTTGAAATTAATGCCCTGATTAACACGTAGAGGCCGGCCGACCGTAAATGCCCTTTTTTTTAATCTGTTTTAGGTACAGATTTACACTGAATTTTGACAAACTGCAGCCCGCTTGTTCCTACGCGTTATAAAAATTCACGTAAATATCTGCTCAAGATCGTCACCGTTCTTTCCTAAGCTGCATTTTTTATATTTTCAGTTTTCTTATTGAATTTTATCATTTCGCACAGAGCAGTGTACTGCCAATAAATGGAGGCTCAAACGCGCTGGATAATCGACCACTATCCACGTTATTTTGGATCGATGCTTCAGCGCGCTTTGGTGACGTTCTTTAGCCCGAGATTATACCATCCATTCTCATTGGATAAAACATGTAAAATGAAAATAAAATAAAAGAACGTGTGTCCGTCTTTCCAAATCATTATTTTTCTTTTCCGAAGAGAGTTTATCAACGAATGGAGACTTTTTCAGAAAATACGAAACTTGTTCCAGTATGAGAGGAAATATTTTTGTGTGTCTTTTTTAAGAATTCTAAACCTGGACCAATTGACGAAATTCACGAGTGCTTCGCGTTCACAGTCGCCGTGCCTTTTGTTTTCTTTCAATGTCATTACATTTCGAATTATTTTTTGTTGAATGATATGTCTATAGTATTCTTATAGATAAACATCATTCCAATGTCTTATTTCATGGTAGATTTTATCTCGAAAATACTACATTCAATAAAAATGATCACTCAACACGATTATACAATTACACGTTTTCTGTACACACAGGCTTGCATTGCATTTGTTTTCCTTTGATGAAAATTTAATTTACAAACAATACAATAAATAAATCATTTTACGATAATAAGAAAAATTTACTATAGACACATTCAATGTATATGGAAAATTTTAACGCATTAATACGATTTATATTTCAAATTCAGTAATACAATGCTGACATTTAATACTTATTTATTGTAACAATTTTATATTTTTCATGTTTTTAAAATCGTAAAAATAGTATAAAATGTTGAGGGCGTTTTTCACGATGATATTTTCATTATTGTATAAATGATACAAAAAAAGAAAAAAAAACGCGAAGCTCTACTTATCTCTGTTACCGGCGTTAATACAATTTTACATTGTAAAACAGAAATAATTTAAGTTGCAAGAATTTATTGGAAAAATAAAAGCGTACGATTATGGAATATTAATTGATAGGCGAAAAAGTCGTGGCGACTGTGAACGCACGAGGAATCGACGAAACCTGGGCTTCTTCGATCACATAAACTTCGTGGCCACAGCGACAGCAAAAAATGACTGTGCATTTTTCTCTATTTTATTCTTTTAAACTAATAAAAAAAAAATAAAAAAAATTTCCTTTTATTTCTCTCTCTCTCTCTCTCTTTCTCTCTCTTTCTCTCTACTCTATATCTATCTATCTATCTATCTATCTATATATCAACCTACCTACTTTTCTCAGTCTCTATACTTATCTCTATATATTTTTATAATTTTCTCTCTCTCTCTCTCTCTCTCTCTCTCACACACACACACACGCACGCACGCACACACACACTCTCTCTTTCTCACTCTTTGCATCTATTTCTGTCAATTTATTACTTCCTCGTTCTTCTAAACTTTTTCAGTCTCTTTTTCGTTCTTGTTTCCTGTTCGCGGAGAAAAATAATTGGTTGCGCTAATAAGACGCGTTTGAGGATATTATCGTTTGACGAAAAATAAAATTCTAGTTGCAATTGAATTTTATACCTATTGGAACTGCTTTGCATAAACCTGAATTCTTATGTTATTTGATTTAAATATCTCACAATAACGTAAAAAATTCAATCGGAATTATAAATTAAAAGATTATTTTGACCTTGTATAGAAATTTAAAACTTTTTATTTGAAAAAAATAAAAAAAAAATAGATAACCTCCTCATTAAATTGATAACATTGAATGAATATCATTAATCAATTAATTAGATTAATTCTTTCAAAATCGTAATTGCAATGATTATTAAATGCAACAAATTTATTTTGAATTTAATTTAAATTGCAAGCTTTTTATCGCTACATACAATTACTTTTTTCCACGATATGACATAAATCGCCCAGATTGCCTCGAATCCCAAAGAAGCTTTTTCAGAGAAAATTCGCTCACGTGCTCGTGACACTTGCATACATAATATACATTGTTTTTATACTTGACTGACAAGCATGTGTGCGATGAATTTGCAAATTTTTTATTTTGTAACGATGCTCGAGAAGCCGCAACTATGTAGAGAAAGCATGTAATGAAATATGCACGAGTACATCGGCGAAACCGAATAAGAATAATTGGGAAAGAGAAGTCGAAGTTGGCGCTTTGTTTTTTTCTTCGTATATAAAATTTTTAGTATTATCTAAACGCACGAATGGGATATGCAAAAATAAAAAAGAAAATGTGAATAATTATTAAAAAGCAGACGAATGTGTTTCTGTTGAATGAAAGTGAGCGACGTATGATGTGTACGTATATGCCAATGCGTGTGTACGTATATGTATATATATATATATATATATATATATATATATATATATATATATATATATATATATACACATATATACATAAATACGTATATATGCATACGTAAATAAAAGACGTATATTTGATAGCTTTTGCTATAAAGACGACAGGAGTTATTAAAGTACCTCGACTTACCAGGACGATATTGTGCTTTTTTTTCTCTCTATTTCTGGCGCACATGAATACACGTGCAGGCCTGCTACTTGAAGGCCATCGAGACGCGCCCGGACTTCGCGGTCGCCTGGAGCAACCTCGGCTGCGTCTTCAATGCCCAGGGCGAAATATGGCTGGCCATTCACCATTTCGAGAAGGCGGTTGCTCTCGACCCGAACTTCCTTGATGCCTACATTAATCTCGGCAACGTCCTCAAGGAGGCCCGTATATTCGACAGGTGAGTCTTTATTTCTTTATGTTGGAAAATGAAACTGTGGCAGGTAGTAGGGCAAGTCAGTTGATATGCACTTGCACGTACTCCAAACGGAAAAGTATATATAATAAGTTTCTGAGATAAGTACAAACAGATCGGATGGCACGACAATGATTCGATTTGTCATTACAGGATATTTTTTTAAGCTTTTTGGCTGCACATAATTGAGTAATTTAATTAAGTAGTTTTAATCATTATCAAATTCGGATTCCCATGTGATTCCATTCAATTACGCGACAGAATACTGACTAATGTATTTAAACGTGAAATGTTCATTGAATTTTAATTGAAATTTTTAAATGCCAATCCAAATACAAATTAAGCTACTTTTAATGTCAGTCAAATAAGATTTTCATTGTTAAAGTGTAAAAGATCAGTTGTTATGTGAGTTTAGAGCTCGAAGCAAATTTGGTAAAAAGAAACCGTTTTATTATGGAAACTTAAAAATACCTTAAAGAACTTTTCATTTAATTTAAATCGATAATAAAAAGGAGCACTCCTTTTCATCATTATTTGTAAATGAATGTTTCTGCTTTCCGAATCAGTTGTAATTTAATATTAGCCGCCAAATAAACTTTTTATTTGCACTTTTCCGCTCTATCTATTTTATTTACAAGTTTATTCCATTTAACCAATACTTTGCTCGAATTTATCACTATCGATCTTACAATCATGCATATTCTTTTATTACGTCATTGTTTATTTACTTACTCCTGTGCTGTTATTCGTGTAGTATAAATATTACACGAATTTAAAAATACAATTTGAATTTATTAAGCATTCGCGATCTCGAAATATTTTTTATTAGTTGCAATACAAACAAAGCCTCCAGTGCCAAAGAAAATTTTGTAGGAACACCATTCATAAAGCACATACATACAATATTGTTTGATGTAGTATTGTTTCAATACAAGGTAATAAAATCTTGTAAAAATTTTAATAAAAATTACTCTAGAAATAAGGTATCATAAAAGGAATATTGTATTGCTTGTTTTCTTGAATATCTTGACTTTCTTGTTATTCATATTTTCTATAAAACTATTTGCAATAATGCCAATGAGATTTACAATTAATTAAATTTCAACCATATTAAAATAACGCAGTGCCAATATTTTTATAACATCTTGTTTATTTGTATCCTAATCTATAATTATATGGTTTATTAATTTTAAAGTCATCTAATCAATATAGAACGTTTTAAAATTATGTTTATTTTTTTTTACCTAACGTTGATGATGTATAAATATGTTGATGAGAAAACTAGATGTTACGCCGATTCTAATGATATATAGCGCATAGGCAATCGACGCTATATGTAGTCGTAATGAATAGTTGCGATGGTATGATGTGTTTGTGGAACGTGTTGGTTGTGATGGTTCTCAAGCGTTAAAAATGAGCAAATTTTTTTCATAAGGTAGGTGACTTTGTGCTTACATTGTTAACATAAAACGTGAAAAAGAGGAATTCAGCTTTAATATGTCTGGAATATATATCTTGTGTATTGAAAGTCGCGAAACTCCCTTCCGAACTAAAATTTTATTACCGCATTTATAGTCATTAGCCTACATGAAAATACTACGTTTCACGCACAGTTGGTGGCACTTCCTTAACATTTAATCTCGTCTATCCTCGGATTCGGATTGGTGTCCTGACAGTTAGGAGGTTTTAGTTTCTGGCACATCCACGCGAGCTTCGTGGTAAACTTAAGTCAATCATCTTCTTTTGCTCTTTAGTAAATTGCAACATATTTGTCGTGACATTGTGCTCGTTTACTAGAATCTTTTTTCTAAATTATAATAAACATGGATATAGCCGAAATGTTTTTAAATTACATTATTTTTAGTCAAAATTTAGCCAAGATAAAATTTTCTCTATGATTTATCAAATTGTAAAATAATATGCTACACGATCCGTTTGAAGAATATTCATATTGACTTTCATATTCCATATAAATATAAAAAATATATATAAAAAAAAGAATATTATCTTTTAATGTTTGTGAACAGCTGAGTGCTAGATAAATTATATGTATATATTAATAGATCGTATTAGGTTAGATATAAAATAAAAAATTACTGTTTATATAGTAATATACGTAATAATATACAAAAAGTGAAAATTGAAGTAGTAATTAGGAAAATACCTTATATTATATCATAATTTTTTTATAAATAATCCAAACATTCAACCATTATTAAAGATATTTACTTTTTAATAGAATTTTCTTTTAAAGAAAATTTTTAGCAACACCTGAAAATAGATGATTTTTTAAAGATTTATAAATATTAAGCTACTTACTTTCATATTTATTTGAATTCATAGGCAAAGTATCGTAGCTCATTCTAAATACCCAACCACTTTTGCTATATTTGTCTGGAGTTAAATATAATATTTATCCTTATTTACAAAGGACAAAAGCGCTATAAATAATGTGTGTTATATATTTATTCATAGCCATTTTAGTTAGCTAAGGATATTTTCATTTTTTCTAATTTTTATCCTTGTACGTGTTGTAAAATGATATTGGCAACCAAACATATGCATTCATTATTGAATTCTGGTAACTTACTGTTTTACTGTCCCAGTTCATCCGCATATGTCGATATGAACACATTATATCTTTCTTACACATCACTAGAAAGTACGATTAGAGTATTTTTCGTAAACGATGCGTTGGAATTTTTAGGATGGAAGTTGAAGATCTTTTATTTTTGATTATTACTGCTATTTTACATCCTCCGCACGGTTTTTTTTGTTTTTTTTTTTGTTTTTTTTTGTTTTTTTTTTGTTTTGTTTTTTGTTTGTTTGTTTTTAAATACAGGCAATTTTTAGTAGTTGCCGAGAAGTAAGTACGATTATTACTGATGCTAATACCAAGAGTAAAAAGTATTATACTTTTCATTAATGGAGCATATACATTTTTTTACATATTTTTTAATTATGTACGTACGTATGCCACTCATTCAATGGATTTTGATAAAAATTTCATTTGTAAATAGGCAAAAAAAAAATTGGATTACAAAATTCAATAGTTTATTAATCTCAATACAGGGATTTTTTAAATAAACTTCTTATTCATTGTGATATAGAACTTTATAAATTGTTAAATAATCTACTTTTAGATGCTCATTTTATTTACAGACAATTATTAGATAAATTAAAAATATTGAATTAACTATAATAAAGAAACTTCTACTTTAAATTTTATCTCACATATGACAGTTCGTAATCTCAAATTCAAATTTTTTATTATTCAATTCATTTTTTCAATAAGCTTTACTGTCATATAATATTATATACTATTTAATAAATTTTTTCTTTTTACTCTTAATATAAAATATTAAAAACTTTTTTATTTTATGTTTTATGAAAGATAAATTATTGGGAAGATTTATATACATATAACTATATATGTACAAAAAATGTTTGTTATTTTATAAAATTCAAGAGGGTTAATAATGAAATTAAAAAAAGTTATAATATAAAATATAAAAAAAATTACTGTTTGAAAAAGAGAAAGTTCCGTTATTAAATATGTTTAATTTTATTATTTAAAATTTTAATTTTCTATTAAACAATTAGATTATATTTCTTAAAAATAAAAATTTGTTTGATTTCGCGTGATTTATTACTAAATTTATCTACTGTCATTGCTCAAACAAATAACTAATTTGAGCGAATACTGCTTTTGATTTCAGTATTTTAAACTTATTTCTAATTTCAAGAGAATTTTCAGTCCAGAAAAAACTAAATTGGGATAACGTTGATTACAAAATATTATTAGTTGTATGGGCTAGCACAAATTTCAATTTTTATGTTGATAATTATTGTATATTTAAATAATAACTTGATAGGATATCGGGATTAAACTTAAAACTTTTGAAATTAATTGAATAAATTAAAAATATAATTAGTTTTTTTAATTACTTTGTTATTTTTTCGGGTTAAATTGTGCATTAATACAATAATCTAATTTACATTAATTTATTATACAATTTAAAATTTTTACACTTTTTCATCACAAACATAAAGCATAAAAATAACTTTGAAAATAATGAAAAAAATTTATCAATATTGTTTTATTCTAGTTAAAGTGTTTTAATTTATCTACAGATATTATTTATATTTTAATTTGCATAACGTCCAATACAATCGATAAAATAAAATAAGAAATGTCAAATGATATTTTGAAACATGAAATTGAATAAAAGAATAATCAACGTATGTATATCAGAATTTTCTAACCACTACATAAATTGTCATTCTTTTTCTTAAAAGGAATTTATTTACATTTTCATGGTCTAACATTAAAAGTTAATATGAAACATATAATAGTTTGTTTATCGTATAAGCCAATCTTGCTTTCTTATTTTCACGAATACCGGCACGATAGATAAAGAGGACAAGTGTCATTTGCGTATAAAGAAATCAGTGGATATTTCATGGATTTTCCACAACTGTTGGATTTATTATTTATTTTACTATATACCAATAAGATAATTGTCTTAAACATTGTTTTTATAGCAATGATTAAACAATTGCCTACAATCTAAGTTTACAAACAAACTTTATCTTATTACTTGTTAATAAATGCAGGTTTTTTATTTAAATGCTCCTTTTTATTGTTCGTTAAGTGAATAAAATATTAATTATAATCAATTACAAAATGTTGATTTTACATTTAATTGTTTATAATTTGATAATAATTGCAAAAATTTCTACTTTTAATTAAAAATTCATCCATTTAAAGTTTAATAACTCGCATTTATTATCAAATTTTAATTTCAAATGTATTATTTTGCTAAATTGCGTGAAATTACTTTCTTTTTCTTTTTTTTTTTACAAATATTAAATCAAATAGTCGATGAATGTCATGTTATTATTACTATTACAAAAAGTTATTCAATTCTAATTTGACTAATTCTATCTAATCTGACTTCAATTTAAATTTTATTATCTCAAAA